CTTCTTCTTCTTCTTCTTCCTTCTTCTTCTTCTTCTTCTTCTTCTTCTTCTCCTTCTCCATCTCCTCCTCCTCCTCTTCTTCTCTTCTTCTTCTCTTCTTCTTCTGCTTCTCCTTCTCCTCCTCCTCCTCCTTCTTCTTCTTCTTCTTCTTCTTCTTCTTCTTCTTCTTCTCCTTCTTCTCCATCTCCTTCTCCTCCTCCTCCTCTTCTTCTCTTCTTCTTCTCTTCTTCTTCTGCTTCTCCTTCTCCTCCTCCTCCTCTTCTTCTTCTTTCTTCTTCTTTCTTCTTCTGCGTCTGCTTCTTCTCCTCCTCCTCCTCCTTCTTCCTCTTCTTCTTTCTTCTTTCTTCTTCTGCTTCTTTTGCATCTGCTTCTCCTCCTTCTCCTCTTCTCCTTCTCCTCCTCCTCCTCCTTCATATTATTATTATTATTATTATTATTTCATTCATTCACTCAGTCATTCCTTCATTCTTACTAGAAAGGGAGGAGACTCCAGCATTTTCAGACCTCATACTGGTTTTATTCCCCCCGAGTCGCGACTTTAACTCGGTCCGGAGAAGGTGTGACCCCAATGTTTTCCTTTTGTCTCAGCAAAGGCAGGCAGAGCTAGAAACGGCACGACTGGCCAAGGAGAAAGAGGAGGAAGAGACGAGGCAACAGACTTTGCTGATGAAGAAAGAGAAGGATATACAGAAGAAAGCGATCAAAAAAGAACGGCAAAAGCTGCGCACAACTTGCAAGGTACACAGCTGCTGCTGATGCTGTTGTCATCCAACCTGTTGTTGTTTTTCAGCCAGGTGTTCCGAGCCCAACATCCAAGCGTCTTCAAATACCGTGTATCATTCTTAAAACCTGGGGGAAACGACAGGCAACGTTTTTGTAGTTGTCACTTCTCAGAATTGGTTTTTCTCTAGCGAGCCGGTTTACGTTGAAATGGTGCTTTTGATTCTTTTTAAAAAAAAAAATATGCCACCAACCTTTCTGGGTGGGCGGCTCGGTGGGAAAGGGAGGGGCAGAGAGCTTTACGCGTGCATGCGCACAGGCCCAAATGCAGCTGCGCGCACGTACAGTACGCGTGAACGGGGCCGTGAGCATGCTCGCTCCGTAAATGGGGCTGCTAGATAAGCCACTTGACGGGCTTCATCCCACTCAGAGGTCCCCCGGCTCGGTGGGAAAGGGAGGGGCAGACACCTTTAGGCGCGCATGCTCCATAAATGGGAATACTGGATCAGGGCTTTTCAACCAGTGGTACGGGTATCACCTGTGGTCCATTGGCACCTGGCAGGTGGTATGCGACCATCCTAGAAAAGTAGCGGGGGAGAGGAATGAGCTGAACCGGTGGCAGCACCGCACAAGCCTGAGCGACAACCCCGCAGGGCTGTCAGGGCTCAGCGGAAGCGCCAGGATCAGCGCCGAGCTCCAGCTGATCGGCGCTTCTTTGGGGCTGTCAGGGTTCAGTGGAAGCGCCAGGATCAGCACCAGGCTCCAGCTGGAGCTCGGCGCTGATCCTGGTGCTTCTGCTGAGCCCTGAAGAAGCGCCGATCAGCTGGAATGTTGCAGCCTCTCCAGGGTCTTGTGATTTACATTCAGATGCTTGGCAACTGATTCATATTTATGACGGTCACAGTGTCCCAGGGTCTTGTGAAGGGACCAAAACCTGCTGCAACCACCCATCAAGACGGGGGGAATAAAAACCAAACACACCCCCCACCCCACCCCTGCTGCCAATCCTCAACAGAAATGCTCACAACAATGAAAACCTCGGACAGGAGGAAGAGCGCGGCCGGGTGGGCAGGCAGGTGTCTTGCTCGGCTGTGCCTTGGGGGGGGCACTTTTTCCAGTGCCATTGTTAACTTCGAACAGTCACTAAGCGAACTGTTGTAAGTCGAGGACTACCTGTACTTTATCACTTTTTTCCTTTTGGGGGGGGGGGTCATCAAGTTTTTGACCCCTTGCTAGGCGACTGGTGGTATTCGGATATTGCCATATCCTAAAAGTGGTACAATGGGTGAAAAGGTTGAAAAGCCCTGGACTAGATAAGCCACTTGACGGGCTTCATCCCACTCAGAGGTCCCCAGGCTCGGTGGGAAAGGGAGGGACAGACAGCTTTAGGCGCGCATACACACAGGCCCAAGTGCAGCTGCGCCCGCGTACGCATGAACAGGGCTGCTAGCATGCTCGCTCTATAAATGGGGCTGCTAGCGCCGGCGCAAGGGGGTTGAGCGCGCATGCACGCACACACTAACCAGCCATTTACACAGTTCAGTGGCCAAGAGGCCGCAGCCCGGTAGTGGACCGCGGCCCGGTAGGTTGGGGACTTCTGTTCTAAGTGACTTCGGGCGGCTTACAAAGATAAAAAAAAATTCATATAGAAAGAATAAAAAGCGATAACGCCCATCCTTCTGCTGACAACCCTCAATCAGATAAGCCCCTTGATGGGCTTCATCCCACTGAGAGGTCCACAGGGGGTTGGGCTAGAAGATCTCCAGGGTCTCTCCCCACTGTTATTCTGTTGATCAGTTGGACGGCTTGCCTCTAGAAGTGGTGGGTGCTCCATCACTGGAGCTCTTCAAGAATAGACTGGACAGCAACAAAGCATAAAACAGGATATCATGGGATAGATATTGAGCTCTTGAAAATGTTTATTGATTAACTTTTATCGATTAATGGAATTTATATGCAGTGATATATTAATGAATGAATTTGTTTTAGAAATGTACTAATTTGAATATATTATCCTAAATAGAGAGACAGATTGTGTTAGTCTAAGTCTAAACATCTGAAAAATTATTAAAATGTAAAATGGGATTTTATGGGTTGTTGAAAAAAAATTTTATTCACTAACGGAATTTATGTGTATGAATTTGTTTTATAGAAATATATTAATTTGATTATAATATCCTAAATAGATAGAGAGGGGAATTTTAAGGACTATTGTCTGAGCTGTATATTTATAATGTTCTTGTTTTTCATTGATAACCCTATCCCCACGTTGGTTCTTAAGCCTTGCTGGTGTCAAATGGAAAACTAATAAAAATTATATTTTTTTAAAAAAAAGAAGAAGAAGAGACTGGACAGCCATTGGTCCAGAAGAGTATAGAGTCACCTGCTTGAGCAGGGGGGTGGACTAGAAGACCTCCAAGGTCCCTCCCAACTTGATATTCTAACTCCAAATACTTCCTGAACGTTTGAAGCTCATCTTAATGTCAAGTGTTGTAGCAGGCTCAGTCCAACACGTCGTATGTCAGTTGCGTGTCGTTTCTTCCCCACCTTGAAATCTGAAAATAAAACATGTCCATTTTCAGAACTGGAATTACTTTTCCGACAACGAGGCAGAAAGCGTCAAGATGATGGAGGAAGTTGAGAAGCTTTGCGATCGTCTGGAGCTGGCAAGGTAGGCAGTCCTGACCTCCGCTTTGTGTTTGTTGACCTTCCCGCTTTCTGCGAGATCTGAATTGTCGTTCAATGATTTGTTTCTAGCATGCAGTGCTTGAATGAAGCACTTACCTCCACAACCAAGGACGAAGGGAAGGCGGCGGTATTAAAACAGGTAAATATTAACATTTTGTCGTGTAAAAAAAAACAACAACCCAGCGGAGCAGGGCGAAACTTAGGGAAAAGACGCAACTTCCTGGCTAAAAATTGGAAGACGAGCCGCCTCCACTAGAACGTAAACGCGATTTTTTAAAAAAATGGAAGGGTTGTGTGTTTTCCGAGGGCCTGACACAACTTTTAATTTGTGACCACAATTGGAGCCAGCATTTTGGTAGCTAAGTGAAACCTTTGTTAAGGGAATTTTGTCCCGCGTTAACTGTGCCCTTTTGTGGCACAGTCGTTAAGCGGGCCACTGCAGGTACACATGGTTGTTAAGTGGATCTGGCTCTTTGCCCCGTTGACTTTGCTTCTGAGAAGGTCGCAAAAGGGGATCACGCGACCCCGGGGTGGGGGGGACGTGGTGACCGTCGTAAATACGAGTCCGTTGCCCAGCGTCCAAATTTTGATCTCGTGCCCGTGAGATATTGCAGCGGTCGTAAGTCTGAAAAACGGTCGTAAGTCCCTCTTTTTCCCCGGTGCGGTCTCCTCTAAAAGTTTCTAAATGTTGTGTTGATTTGGGGAATTTTTTTTTTTTTTTTTGACCTCGCGGGTCCGATAAAATCCCTTGACTTCTCTCTGTCTGTTGTCTATGTCGGCTTCTTCTCCCACCAAATAAATTGGGAGGCTCAGGATAGCTCTGGGGTTGGTCGGAGAAAAGTACTTTTTTTGGTTTTTGGTAGTCCGGTTGAGAGGTGTGTTTGTTTGTGTTCATGTAGATAGAACAAGTAAATGAACAGGTAAGGAGAGAAAAGGAAGAAGCAGAAGCTCAAATGCGACAAGCCACAAAGAGCTCGGACAAGTCCACAACTGGAAGCGTTGGGGGCAGCAAGAACTGGTCTGAAGATGACCTCCAGTTGCTAATTAAAGCCGTCAATCTCTTTCCTGCCGGGACAAACTCAAGGTAAGCCTATATTTATTATTTGAGCATCTTGTTGTTGTTGTTAGTTGCGAAGTCGTGTCTGACCCATGGACAACGTTCCTCCAGGCCTTCCTGTCCTCTGCCAACTTCTGGAGTCCATTGAAGCTCCCGCCTGCTGCTTCAGGGACTCCATCCGGCCACCTCCTTCTCTGTCGTCCCCTTCTTCTCTTGCCCTCCATCTTTCCCAGCATCAGGCTCTTCTCCAGTGAGTCCTTCCTTCTCATTAGGTGGCCAAAGGACTTGAGTTTCCACTTCAGGATCTGGCCTTCTAAAGAGCAGTCGGGGTTGATCTCCTCTAGGACTGACCGGTTGGATCACCTTGCAGTCCAGGGGACTCGCAGGAGTCTTCTCCAGCACCAGAGTTCAAAGGCCTCCATTCTTTGGCGCTCAGCCTTTCTTATGGTCCAACTTCCACAGCCATGCATTGCCACTGGGAAAACCATGGCCTTAAAAGGTTTCCAGACTGCCAATTCTCAGCAAGCTTCTGTAGAACTGGCGACCGTTTCGTTTCTCTAACTAACCCATGAGAAAACAACGCCTCCACCCACACACACCACACTTATTCCAATGGCAAGATGAAAACAGAGGGGCACATAGCTGCCAAATTCTCACTCTTGACAGCCTAGAGCAAACATTTGGTTTACTCAACGGCTCCTATTTTCACTTAATGACCGCTGCGAAAGTTGTAATACTATATCTGTCACATTGGTGACCTGTTTTGCGACCCTCACGAGTTAACCATGAACGGACGGG